TTTTAAGAGATAAGACATCATTGTCATTGTCCGTGTGGAAAACATACTTACTACCCACAATCATGAGGAAGGAGACTTTGAATCATCTCAAAGTGGAGGATATGGCTTGGAATTTAAAATCACAATGCCTCACTCAACACCCAAGTGGAAAATGTATCTCTTCACTACATATTGTAGAAGTATAGTTGTTTGCATCACTACAAGGATTGACAAGAGTCTAATCTTTTAAGAAAAAGTTTAAGGGTAAAAGCCAAAGTGGCAAAAAATGGTTTGAAATGAGATTGGTTGACTTTTAGTCTTCTCATAAAAAAATGTCAAAGTATTATTAAATTGATTGAGGTTTATTTATGAAAATGTTTTGAAAATGCATGGACCTAAGTCCAAGTTTATTATGAAAGTGTTTAAGTTTCAAAACAAGAAGAGTTTTCAAAATGAGAGAGAAGATTTTTGAAATTAAAGAAGATGAGAGGAGAAGAAGAGACTATCCTAAAGCATACGGTAAAAGCTAAGTATAAGGACCATCTAACCAACAAGAAGCCAAAAACTTGACATTATGAGTCAAGATAGAATTCCCATTCTTTGGATTGAAACCATGAAAGCAAAGATACTAGACCTCTTCAAATGTGTTAAGTCTTCACAAAAATTGGGCAGAGTAACGGCCGTATACGGGTGAATTCCATATTACAAACCAAGGATGCAATCACAAAAACCTGCACACAAAAAACAAACAAGCAACCCAATGTCTTGAGGTAAACCTCAAGAGCTGCAGACAAAATATTCAGATAAGATCACAAGGTCCCCAAGATAGGCCAAGGTTTCTAATCCTAAGTCCAGAAAAGTCCACTGCTTCATAATGCCAAGGATAGTAACCAAATAGTCCAAGTACCATTAAGCGTTTTTTAGGGTTTATGTTGATTATTAAGTATCTTAGGAAAAGAAAAGAAAAGAAAAGCTCAAGTGAGAAAAGTAAAAATGACAAGAATAAATAAATGCTCAAATGAGCGAAGATAAAAATGGCATGAAATGTAAAATGCTAAAAAAAATAAATAGTACATAAAGCATAAAAAGAATAAAGCATAAAATAAACAAGTCAATAATTAGTGGTTAGTTAGATGACCATCTTGAAACTTGCATTTGGAATTCATTAGAGGATTGGTAGAACCAAAACCTCCACACAACAAGTTGCATTTGATTTGTGTCAAGTATATCATTCATTTGGAATTCTCACAAGTACTATTTAATGATCAACGGTGTTTATGTGATCCGCGTTGACCAAAGGTGTTGTAGATCCATTAGAGGATTGGTAGAACCAAAGCCTCCACACAATGAATATCAAGGTTATTGGATCAAAGAGATCAAATTAACATACTTGGGCTTGCAATCATAAGTTTGGGCCATGAATGATCATTTATTCGAACTGGGACAAAATTTAGCGCTATGTTAAGCAATCGTAAGTGGACTTATATAGAAGTTGCACCTATTTTGAGGCCGGTCAATAGAAATCTATGCACCATTTATTTTGAGACATGATATAGAGACCATGCTCCAACAACACTTAGTGCAATAAGAAGGGGATGGGATGAAGGGGAATTAGGGTAAAAAAGAAAACCACATTTGAATTAATATTTAATCAAACTATTATTAAAATCATTCATCCATTTTTTGTGGAGTTAGACTCAACACCATGGATCCAATTATGTTAATAAAGCCATGATCGAAAAATCAACCCAAGACAGCCAGAAAAATATTCACAAAATAATAATATATTTAATATATGCATTAAAGGGTTTAAAAATGTTAAAAAAGAATGGAAAATAATGGGGAAAAAGTCAATTATATTCAAATTAATCAAGAAATGAAAGATAAAACCATAGAAAAATCAGAAAATAGGTCAAGTAATTATAAAATTTTTTGGGGAATTTTTAAAAGTCATAAACTATTTTTAAAAATTAAAATAAATGGGTAAAATAAACAAAAATAGTAAAAAATAGAAAAGTCAGAAACAAAAATAAAATAAAGTCACCAATATTTGTCACAATGTCATTGGATCATTCCATAATTTTTTCAGAATTTAAAAATGGGTAAAAGTATTTTTAAACATTTTAAATACATCAAATAAGTGCAAAATTCATAAAAAATACCAAAACACAAAATTAAATTGTGAAAAAATAAAAATCAGAAAGAGAATAATAAAAAATATTTTTCATAATTATTTTGTATTTTTTGGACTAAAAATAAATTTTCTATGATTTTTTGAAATTTAAAACAATTAAAATATAAAAATCAGAAAAAGAAAATAAAAGAAAAAGATGTGGACCATTGGATGAGAGTCAAAACGTGTTAGTAATCAAATCCAAGGGATCTGGCGCGCTGTGCATATCATGGTCTTTACTGACTAAAGCACTGAATCAAATGTAAAATCAGAAATTCAAAAAATACAAATGGCACGCTTTCATTGGTTAGAAGGTGACACGTTGGTCATCTTCAACCTCCATCCTCACGAATTGCAGGTCTCTCTGAAACAACCGGCTGAAAATCATCAAACAATGAAGTCGCCATCGAACATCTTTTATCCCACAGGTAGGGAAAGGTAAACATCGAGAAAACCCGAGAAGGATGAAATCAAGGTCGAACGACCAAGAGATAAGGGTAAGGGAGTCTGTTACGCGAGGGGAAGGTATTAGCACCCCACACGCCCGTAGTACTCTACAGTATCCACTCTTGTTGTCTATCTTATGGGTGTGTTTAATCTATGCTTACTGTTTATTACTGCTAAAGGGAAAGTGCATGCAAAAGAAAGGAGGAAAAATGTAGGGAAAATAAAATTGTGCTCGCCTGGGCCCTACCCCAATGCCTACGTATCCTTTTTGAGGAATCAGAGCAGCCGTAGTTCGGCTTATGTGTTTTTGTTTGTTTGTATTTTCTTTAACGAACAGTATTAATCTCGCCTTCTGCCGCAACTCGACCTTTGGAGATTTACGCGTCAGCACAGAAGTGAATTAATACGCTCTTTTGAAAAAGATTTGAAAGAAAGGCCCGAGGGCAAAAAGATTTTTATGTTTGTTGGTGTTTTTGCTTGTAGATAATAGCTAGTTAACCTCAAGAGAGAGATTTTAGCCATTTCTCTACTTATTCATGAAATGAGTCTTTGAGACTTAAACCACACCAAAGCTTAGAATAAGAGATCAATAAGGTCGAGAAGAGACCCGCTTATCGTCTCACATACTTAACGAAGATATGATTCTCGTCAGTAAATTTTTTGTATTTTTGAAGCTTACGAGAAAAAGAAGTTTTTATTTTTTTAATGCATATGCGAAAATAAAAAAAGAAAAGTCACAGGGAGACTAACCTAGTTCTAAACCTAAAGTCATCATACCATGCAATCTATGGGAAGTGATAAATGCGGGGTGAGAGTGGAAATAAAATATACCAAACGAGTACTAGCTCGTAGAGCAAAGTAAAAAGCAAAGAAACTTGATGATCTCATGAGCTGCTAGCATCAAAAAAGAAAAGAATTAGAAATCCAATGCTCGGAATAAGTGTTGAAGCATCATTGATGTGAAAATAAATCACAATCGGAACCTCAAGCATATCCGTATATCACACAATAAGCATGCATAAGACTCAAATCTTCAAAAACAAAAGTGAATCACGAGTCTCGAGTAATCGGATAATCAAGAATTAATTTCTAAAAATATCTCTTACAATCTAACATTTTTTAGGTTTTTTATTATATCAATATTTTTATTAACAAAATTGTTATCTAACGACTATGAAAAGAAACGGCTAAAGAAAAGCTAGAAAAACTCTACACAGGGGTGTGTGAGTCTGAAGCAGGGTGTGTATTGTAGTAACATTGACTCGCAGGCCCAACCCAATATTTTATACCTCACCAAAAACCAACTCCCAAAAATAATGGCCATGGACCTGAATGGTGTATACCTCGGTCCGCTAAGATCATACCAAGATCCATCCACCTTTTATTCAGCTTTGTGTATCTCCACTGTTATCAATAAAAGGAATTAGAAAAACACAACAAACAAATGAATGGCGTGATTTTATTCCCAGCGTTCCCAAATCGTGTGATGGTTAGACTTCAAGAGAAACAAAGTCCTCTTCCTCTTCCCTCAATGGTGCCGAATCACACCTCCGACCCGTTCTTTCTACTTTGGTTTCACAATTCACACGTATCTCAAACCTCTGCTCCTCTCTTCATTGTTCGTTTTTGATCCGCCTCGGTTCACACGTCTCTCTTCCATCAACCTCTTCGCGGACTAAAATTCAAGTTTCATTCTTCGACAAAGAGCATAAAATGTAGAATGAAAGATTGAAGAAGGCTTACCAACCGGAGAAGGCACCCGGTGTCTCTTCGAGGGTGATGCCGACAACGAAAAATCTGAAGAAGTTTCAGGTACAATATCTCTTAACTTCTTTGCACGACTTCTTCTTCTTTTTCTTCTATTTCTTTTGTGAAAATTGTTGTTGTGGTTGTCGTTGTGAGTTGTGTTTGAGTGAGATCGTAGGAGTGTGATTTGAGTTTACAGAGAGATGATTTGATGAAGATGAAGCAGGGTTTCAGAAGTAAGTAAAAATGAAGAGTGGCTTGAAGGGTGAAGAGTATTGGTTAGAGAAGAAAGAGAGAGAATTCCGAAAACTTTTTGAGTTCTGGGTCAAAAATGAAGCGTGTTGATGGAAGAGGATAGAAAAAAATGGTGGAGAGAAGATGAAGTTTGAAACTGAAAAAGAGAAAGTATCGTCCCGTCCCCTCAAACTTGGAGGGAGTTTGGATTATATAGGTAATTGAGGGAGGAAATGGTTATGTGGGAATCAATCTGAACCATTGATTTGGATAGAGTTTGTTAGGGATTGAAGGGTGAGATTGAGAGTTGGTTACAAGGTGGTTATGCTAGTTGGGAATTCTGTTTGGAGGTAGTTAGAGAGTTATAAAGTTGTTAGGAGGAAATTGATGAGCTATTAATTAATCTTCTATTTCCCATTCTTCAAGCTTCTGTTGTGTTGTGGCTGGATGTCCCAGAAAATGAGGAGGCCATTGAGGAAATCGTCTGGATTTCATATACAGAAAGAGTCATATCGAAACCTGAGAGACGCCCAACACCAAACCAATACCCGAAAAAATGCAACGAATCATTATCCGGCTTCTCTAGTGATATAGAAGCTCTTAAATTTTGTAAAATTTGGTTCTGCCGACTTAATTGAACAGGAGTAGGGTCTCTTGAAGAACTTGCATCAATATCTGAGTTCAATTCACTGAAGTTTGGAAATCCTGAAAAAGGATCTGCTGATGCAAGGTGAGATGCCAAACCTTTTGATGTCACAGAAGAAAAATGAGGAATTATCATTTCTTTTTCCACTCTCTCGTGGATAACTTGTGAGAGGATTAATAAACGAGAAAGCTCGACTGTCAATTTCATCCCAGTAGTTCTCAAATTAAATGTTAGACGGATGTCAACCTCCAGTACAATTTCTTGGATACCACCAGATTCATTTTCAAGTGCTAAAACGAGAGCAAAGTGAGACAGAGATATGTCAAATGCATCTGGCAATCCACTTTCAGCTTGTTGAGATGTGCCAACAGTCCCTTGATCAATCTTAATATCAAGATTATAGCTCTCCCTGCCATCTTCTGCCAAATTGATGCTTTTATCATGTTGCTGCTCAATAGAAAGGTCGTTAGGTTCCTTTTTTACATATGAAACAGATGAAAACAAGCCAGAATTTTGTTCTGCTGAAGGTTGCCAAGAAGTTGAAGTTTGTTGTGGTGCTGTATTGTTTACACCAGTCGACACAGATCCACCTGGCATTCTCTTAGGATCAGTGAAAGAACTTTGTCGTTCTACACCCAAGTGATTTAAACCAATATTCTGATGAGGAATTTGCCTTATGTGTGAATCATGAGGATGAGGTTGTGGTCTGAGAGATGACGAACCAGTAGCTGTCCCGGAAAAATGGTTATAGTTACCACCACTGCTTCCATATGTCGATGGGAAATGTATATGCTGCTGTTGCTGCTTATTAAGGCCTTGTATGTGAACTGAGGATCTTTCAGTTTCTTGACTGACGGCATTAGAACCTGATGATGGTAATTGATTTGGTTGAACAACTCGAACATCATGTTCCAGAGACTTTTTAGCACCAATGTCCATAGTTGAATAGGTCGGTTCACTCTTCACTTGGATAGCTGAAGAAGTATTATGAGAATGGTCTGCAGCAGGATTCATACTTCTCTGATGCAGTTGTGCTAATGCATGGGGATCATTAAATTTTGTTCCACTGGAAGTAACCGTTGGCATCCTTACAGGGTGCTGCTGTCCAGAAGAACCTGCGTTGGCTTTTGTTTGTTGTTGCACTTTCGTCAATGCTATTCTAAGCATCTGATCCCCCACAATCCCTTTCATAAGCCGTACAAAATGATCTTTGGGTATTTCATCTTTCTTCAATTTGTTAAATAATGTTGTAAGTTGCATTGCTCTATCTTTGGCAAGTTGGGGAATCAAGATAGGGTGCAATAAGCCAAATGGCACCTGCTTACTACGATTGATTTGGCTACTAGGTTGTTCATTTACTGTGGCCTGTTGATTACTCATCTGCTGCAATTTTGCATACTATGATTCACAGTTGGGATTATTTGTTTTGATTACCTCATGGTTAAAGACAGGATCTTTTTCAGACTTCTGAACTTCATTTTTTTGAGAATGTTGGTGGGAAACCGGTACAGTCTGGCGTTAGAGACATTCATCTTGAGATAAGTAGTACTAACACTGTGTTGCATTGGTCCAGAAAAAGATGTATGCTCAACCACTGAGCGGCGTCCACTTGAAAGTCGGATTTCTGGACCTACATTGCCAATGTAATCCTCCTCAAGAACGGAAACATATGATAAACTACTTCGGCTTGATTCTGGACAATTTTCATCTGATGATGTTCTGAATTCAGAAAGGCGGAAATCATCTGAAGAACTTGAGTCGGAAGTTTCATGTGGATAGAGCAGCACAATATTACTTGGCTTGCTATGGTCATTTTAAAAACTATTATCGGGACCTGACTCCAGCAACTGATTCCTTGTTGGTCCGTCCGACATCTCGCAAACTTTTTGTGTCGTCAAGTTTTTCCCTTCCACCAGCACTGAGGGACGATTTAGTGACCATTCTTGATGACGATTCACCTCTATTGACAGATGTGAAATGATTAGTTAGTTCTTCTGGTATATGTTTGTGCTTCCACTTCTCGAGTCGAGACCAATCTAGAACACCAACATTGAATGCTTTCTCTTGAACATTTTCCAATCTATCATTATGCAGGAGATAACCTGGCAAATTAGACATGTGTTTTACAAGCTCATCGCGTTCGTTTCCACTTCTCTTTGCAGTTTCCCGGTTCCGAAAGTTTCCTTCCACATCCTGCTTTGCTTTCTGTTTGAGATCACTGCATTGTGGACCAAAACCACTCTTTGACCTCAACTTATCTGCACCCTTTGGGTTCAGACTTCGATCTAATTGTGGCAATGCAGAACTTTCTTTAGCTATCTTCGAACTGCTATGCCGTTTTGAGCCGAGCTTTTTGAATTCAAACCCAAATACCATATCCTTAGAAGGTATCATGAATTCATTACTTGGCTGTAAATTGATTGGCATGACACAACAAACCCTCAAACTTCACAGTTCAATCACAAACAATTATGTAGTTTAAAAGCGAAGTAAAGAATTGCAATGAAGGCACTGTTTGGTTGGAGTAATCTAATCTAATAATCTTCCATAATCATTTTCCCCTAATTGTCCACCTTGTGGTTTGAAGGATGGGTCTTCTCTAAACATTTGAGTAAGCATATCATCAATGACATTCATATAAGGTCTCAAAGGATCCCGCTTAGACATCTGCTTGGAGGTTGCTTGGGCAACAACAATAGCATTTGAAAGTTCTTGGTGAGCATCGTCAAGTTTGACAGCCATTTGGGCAATTTTATGGGAGACAACTTTCTGACGAGTTTCCCAATCGGCATTTCTCCAAATGCTTTTAGGAATTTCACTTAAACCAAAGCCAAGAAGAAATGCACCCGTAACAAGTCCGAATGTATTTGAGCAAGTCATAGCAAATCCCAAAAGACTCCCACTCCAGCTCCTGTGCATCATAATGAGAAGAATAATTCCGAAAAGGCCAATAGATCCCACAATTAGATAGAAAACCAAATTAACATGTACACTAGTCTTCAATCTTTCTGATACAGTGAAATCCCCTGTGTTTGAGTTTTGGTTTTAGTTAATTAATGGTTTTTCATGTGTCGAGTAATTTGTATGAGCATAGGATATTTTGGCATGATTGCTTGTATTGACTTGGATTTTTTTGTATGAATGTGCAGATCATGAACTGAAGATGAAGAACTTTGGCATGGCATGGAATTAGAAGTTTACTCATGAAATTTTAGCACCTTTAGGACTAAAGAATTTTGTTCAAGTGTATTTTGTAACAGTTTTTTTTTCTTTGTAGAATATTGGTGTAATGGGATTGTAATGATTTTATGATGAATGTTTGGTTTGGATGAACTTGAAATTTATAGTGTGAATTATAAATGACCTTTGAGCTTGAAATGTTGGGTGATGAATTTTAAGGAAGGAGTTTAAATGACAAAGTCTTGAAAAATGCTTGAAGACATGAAAGCATCAAATTTTCTTGTAAGGTATTGTTACACTTGAATGAAATTGAATGGAATTGGATAGTATTTTCTTGAATTATGAATGAAAGGGTTCGAATAAACTTTGAACACATGTCAACTTGATTCTGGAATAACGATGAACGTCTTTGTAATGCGTGTGAACTCCAACTTGAAACAAGACCTCGCAGTCTGTACTTTACCTTCCAAGAAACTCATATGACCAATACTTAAGGCTCTTTGCCAACTTTAATCCAATCAAACACTTTCGAACATCTTGAACTCAAATCAAACTTCAAATCCAAATCACACTTGCATTCTCAATGAACTCCTAACTTCAATCTTGAACCCAAATAATCTTGAATGACAAATAATTTGAATAGTCAATAAGATCTTGATCCTAAAAAATTCACAACCTTGCCTTTTGTACCACGCCTCATATTTCACGATTCAATCCACAAGACAAAGTCCTTCCCTAATTGACGACCTTAAATCATCAAAGATGGATGTAAATGATAATGAAAGAATATGATCAAGATTAATATGAAACCTTATTTCCCCTGATCTTCAATTACTTGAACTTTTATCAATGAATAGAAACCCTGATTTTTAATGAATTTTTTCTTTTCGGAACCAATATTTCTTTTCCTTTACCATACCATTCTTCAAATGCAACTCGAATTCCCAACACATGTTAGATGAAAATTCAAGGGAGACCTTGGTCCCAAAGTTAATTTTTCAAAACTTACTTTAACCGAAGTCAACAGATCTTATCCACATATCTTTGAAATTGACCCATGATTATGCATCTCAAGGTCTCATAAGAGCTTGTAAGCCCATCAACCAGGTATGCCATGTTGAACAAACCCTGCCTTGAATGCCTTGAACCTTGCATGAATTCTTGTATGAGAAACCTACTTCAATCCAAACCTACTCGCATCGCAGATAACAAATGACAATGATGAGGACAATGATTGCCTTGGTTAAGGAGAAATCTATGAATTCATATCTTAGGTCATGAACCACGCTTCACAATTCAATCCCCAGCCCTTAGCGATCGGTTATTTCAACTTGAAATTAGCGTCGTAAGGAACATCTTACAGAGGGATGATAAAGTCTGAATCACAGAAGAATTCCCTTGACGTGAAATCTAGTTGCACAAATAAAAACCCCAGCACTTGCTGAGACTGGATAAAAGCAATTATATCTTGAAGAGAAAGAAATCATGTTAACCACACCTCACGATCTTGATTTCCCATTTAGATGCACAGAGAAATATCCGAATGAAACATCTTTGAACCATGATTCAACAAAACCTAATTTGATTAACTGAGGAGTAGATGAATGTCATGTCACAATCATTAATCCTAATCAAATGACAAGCATACTTATAGGAAAGGACGTCATGATTCGAAGCCCACATATGCTAGGTCACGTCCTAGAGTTCTTGACCAGAATGACCTACAATCGGTTGTTTATCGGAAGATAATAGCCTTGCTGCTTGAGGGAGAAGAAGTCCTTTATTGGATATGAGCGCCTTAACCACTATGAAACCCTAGTATCGCACAACCACTGAACTTTGAACCTCAGAGCTATATTGAATGAAATGTATGCCATGTTAGTGACCTAATGAAATAGATGCAGATGAATGCAAAACTCTAAGCCAAAAATAAAGGAAATTCGGAGGGCAAATTTTGGGGTGCAACAGCTGCCCCTATTTAATCGTCTTCAACCTGAAGGCGAGATTGGCGTCAGCCTTTCGAACTTTCAGGGTGGAGGAAGATTAAATACTAAAAGAACCGAAAAATTTGCGCTCCGGAGTCAGTCAGGTATTATTATATCTTTGGTTTTTCTGTATCTTCTGTATTATTTATTTTCTTGCTAGGTAAAATGGGTTATCTGGTTAGATGTATGTTTAACCGGGGTTTGACACACAGCAGAATAACTTGGTTATCAAGGAACAACTGTTGGGATTTAGTAACAAAAACCTGTAAGAAAGATATCAGAAGATATATGCCTGAAGTCTGTAGCAGACATACGAAAAAAAGTATCAGAGACACACATCCGGGGTTAGTAGCGGATATACAAGAAAGAGACATCAAAAATACATATCCGTGGTCGGTATCGGACACGTAAGAAAGAGATAGAAAAGATACATATTCGTGGTCAGTATCGGATACGTACACAAGAGATATCAAAGATACATACCCGTGGTCGGTATCAGATACGCTCAAAAGAGACATCAAAGATACATATCCGTGGTCGGTATCGGATACGTACGGATGAGACAGACCGAAGAAAGCCCTTACAAAGATGTCAAGAACACATGTCTGGGATTGGTAGCAGAAATATGAAACAGGTATCAAAAATACATATCCGTGGTCGGTATCGGATATGTAAGAAAGAGACAGATACATATCCGTGGTCGGTATCAGATACGCACAAAAGAGACATCAAGATACATATCCGTGGTCGGTATCGGATACACACAAAAGAGACATCAAAGATACATATCCGTGGTCGGTATCGGATACGTACGGAAGAGACAGACCGAAGAAAGCCCTTACAAAGATGTCAAGAACACATGTCTGGGATTGGTAGCAGACATATGAAACAGGTATCAAAAATACATATCCGTGGTCGGTATCGGATATGTAAGAAAGAGACAGATACATATCCGTGGTCGGTATCGGATACGCACAAAAGAGACATCAAAGATACATATCCGTGGTTGGTATTGGATACGCACAAAAGAGATATCAAAGATACATATCCGTGGTCGGTATCGGATACGCACAAAAGAGATATCAAAGATACATATCAGTGGTCGGTATCAGATACGCACAAAAGAGATATCAAAGATACATATCCGTGGTCGGTATCGGATACAAACAAAAGAGATATCAAAGATACATATCCGTGGTCGGTATCGGATACGCA